GGGGGTACAGGTGAGGTCTGGGGGTGCAGCAATGGGGTGGGAGTGAAGCTGGGGATGTACTGCAGTAATGAGGTTGCAGGTGTAGGGCCAAGGATGGGGTGGGGGTACAGGTGAGGTCTGGGGGTGCAGCAATGGGGTGGGAGTGAAGCTGGGGATGTACTGCAGTAATGAGGTTGCAGGTGTAGGGCCAAGGATGGGGTGGGGGTACAGGTGAGGTCTGGGGGTGCTGGTGGGCTGCTTAGTGGGGGCAGTGCAGAGGGTTTGGGGCATTGCTCACCCCAGGGTCAAGAGGGTAGGGATGGGGTGCAGCTCCCTGTGGGACCCCCGTGGCAATGCCAAGGGTGCTCAGAGAGTCCCAAGCACACAGGGGGACCCTGGGGGTGCCCCATGCTTTCCTGATGCCATGGTCTCACAGGCAGGTGCTGGGGGGTGATGCCTCTCTATCCTCCACCCACCTGCTGCCATTCCTTCAATTTGCCTGAAAACCATGTGTTTTTCCCAGGAAGCTCATTCTTGCTTGGTTTGGAGTACAGTGGGGAGGTCCAAGCCCTCAGCATCACTGCAGCCCAAATTCATCTTGTGTTGCATCCCACCAATGGGAATTTTCTTTGAGGTCCCAGTTTAGGGACCAATTCAGCATCACAAGTGTTTTTTGGGACAGAGCTGATGCTCAGTGTCACCGTGGGATTTTCCTTCTAAAACAGCCAAAACCCCCTGAAATAAGAAAGTTAACATTTTGGTGGATCTTAGGCCTTTCTTTCAAGGAAGAAGACCTTGAAGACTTGCTGCCCTGCTTGAACCAGCTCAGGTCACCCCTAGACGTGCCAGTGTTGCATTCAGACACTAAACCCCCTGATTTTTGGGGAAGAACAGTTGTTTTTCCACATGATCGTTGAATTGTGCAACACTGTCCCCACTGAAGTTTGCTGCTGTCACCCCACTGCCTGTGCAAGGCCAGTCTGGTGCTTCACCACTTCTCCTTTCTCACAGATTTCCAAAAAAAAAACCCATTTACCATCAGGTTCAAACAGGGCAGGACGAGCTGTAAAACCCCCAGCCAGCCACAACTTCCTGAATATGTTAAGATCTGTGAGTGTCACTTGGTTTGGTGACACAGGATTGTGTTGGGTGTTGGCTTCTAGCAACTTCCATCAAAAATTTGTCTGTGTCTAATTTACATCTATTTTTTTAATGGAGTGGGGAATATGGTGCTGTTAATTTTATATAAGTGTTGTGTGTAGGTGCTGTAGACATCTCTTTCCAACTTAGGTGGTGCAGAAGACATCACCAAACTGGTCTCAGTGCCCTTTTCCTTTGTGTCTCCCTGTCCAGGCTGAAGGACCTGGAGGTGCCCAAGCTGGGAGACACTGATGTCCATGTCAAGATGTTGGCTGCCCCCATCAATCCTGCTGACATCAATATGATCCAAGGTAGTGTGTTAGCTGAGTAGTTGAGCATATAAATTCTTGCATGATGCTCCCAATGGGGTCAGAGAATCTTCTGAGTTGGAAGGGACCCACAAGGATCATCAAAGTCCAGCTCCAGTATCTCAGAGGGTTTGGAGGTGGTTCCTGGGATGGAAAGGTCTGGGGTATGAAAGGTCTGTAGCTCACCTCCAGCTTCCCAACAGGAACCTATGCCATCCTCTCACCTCTCCCAGCAGTGGGAGGGAATGAAGGTGTTGGGGAGGTGCTGGAGGTTGGACATCGTGTGACAACTCTGAAACCTGGAGACTGGGTCATCCCAGCAGATGCTGGACTTGGTGAGTGCCTACACCCCTGCAGAGTATCTTCTCAGGGGATTTTGGGGATGTTAGAGCCTGCCAGGAGCTGTCCAAGCTTGCCTGGAGAGCAAATCCATGGTTATGCTCTTCTGCAAACCAGTACCTGGGGAGCTGCCATGGGGATTTTGGGGATCCTGGAGCAAACCCACAGCTCTCCAAAGCACCATCATTGCTGGGTGTGGGTAGAACCACATGCCCCTCCACTTACACCAATTACATCTGATGGGATGGGACTTCAAATGGGAAAAAAAGGTTGTTAGGGAATGTTGAGTGAGGGAAGCAGCAGTTGGAACCCATTTGGTGCCATATGAGCCCAGTCATTATGAACTGGATTGTCTTGTCCCATCGACTTAGAGCTTCCCTAAAGACTTGAGATAAAGTATTTCACTTGGGCAAGATCATGGTGACACCTTACTGCACTTTTCTCCTTCATAGTGCTCTGCTGGGAAAGTGTGGGAATTTTATCTCCCAGCAAATGTCTCTTGTGCTCCTCCAAAATGCCAATGGCCAGAAATTTGCTGGTTCTGGTTTGGAGTTGCAACTTGTTCTTTGCCTCTTTCTGCTTAAAAGGCTTTTTTTTGCTTAATGGGAGAAGGAAAGGGATCAAGTTAAGAGGCAAATGGGATATTTTCAAACATAAAAAACCCTGTAAATAGATTATAGAGGGTTAAATTGGATAGAAGTATGGAGGGAGTAAAGCTGCCTAAATTGGCTTTGAATATATAGGCTCATCCATAGGATGGAGAGTGTTTCCATTATCTCTGCACACTCCCTGTGCCCAGGGAGCCCCAGTCCCATTATCCCTCTGGGAAATGATTAGGCTTGGCTGGATGATAAATCTCTTGCAATACTGTGGCCATACCCATATGGGAAAATGTTCCATAGTTCCCTCTCCAGGCTTTAGCTGGTGTCCAGTTTGACCATGCTGCCATGAACCATCATTAACTCACAATGTCAACTGAGGTCTTATGACGTTTTCCTTTCCTTTCCCACCTTCCTGTGGGCTCTTCCCTGCTGGTGCCCAGGGACGTGGAGGACCCAGGGGGTGTTCCCTGAGGAGATGCTGCTGAAGGTGCCCAGTGACATCCCAGTGCTCTGTGCTGCCACGCTGAGCGTCAACCCCTGCACGGCGTTCCGCATGCTGACCGACTTTGAGACCCTGGCACCTGGTATGGCTCTGCCAAGGGGAGAGGATTCCAGCTGGGTTTGCCATCACTTCTGCAATGAGAGTCTGGGTTTGTTTCCATCTAGGTGACTCTGTCATCCAGAATGCTGCCAACAGTGGTGTGGGCCAGGCTGTCATCCAGATCGCCAAAGCCTCCGGCATCAAGACCATCAACGTGGTGAGGGACAGGTGGGTCCCCTGAGGAGGAGAAGGTCTGGACTGGACTTAGCTCCTGGGCTGGAGGCAAGTTTGGGAGCTGGATCTGGTTATCCTGCCCATCCAGCCCAGGGTTTTGTGCTGTTTGCTCCTCCAAGGTGTCCTCCAGCCCTGTTATCCTCAAGTGATATCTGAGCAGGAGGAAGGAGAATGTGATGCTCTGCTCCCTGGCTCATCGAGTCTTCTTGTTTTTTCCTCCCCCAGACCTGATCTCCCAAATCTGGTGGAGAGGCTGATGGCCCTGGGTGCAGACCATGTCATCACAGAGGACATGCTGAGAAAGCCAGAGATGAAAGATATATTTAAGGTACCTCAATGCTGATCCCACTGGAGAGAGACAGTCCAGGGCTGTCACTGGAGTTCAGCATCATGGGGAAAGGTACAGGGATGGTGGGAAATGCAAAACTCTCTAGATCAGGATTCAGCCCCAGAACTGGAGGGATTTTGCTGCTACCTCAAGGGACAGATCATAGATTCTAGGTCAGATTGGACAGAGGTCTGACCAACCTGATCTAGTGGAAGGTGTCCCTGCCCATGGCAGGAGTTGGACCAAGATGATCTTTAAGGCCCCTCCAACCCAAACCATCCTGGGAGTCTATGATAGATTCTAACTCCACAACTCTCAGCTGCCCCCAGCTGCCCCAAAAGATAATACAGTTGCTCTCTCAAGGCCCAACTCTCAAAAAGGAGCCCTAAAATTTGGGAACTTCTGTCATAAACTCTTGCAGAGCATCCCGAAGCCTCGGCTCGCCCTGAACTGCGTGGGAGGCAAAAGCACTACGGAGATGCTGCGGCACCTGCAGTAAGCTTGGCTGGGGAGTGGCTTGGGGATAGAAACCTGCCCTGGTGGTGGGGTCTGGAGGTATCATTGCTGAAGTTTTGGAGAGTGGAGATGAGTGGAGAAGTGCTTTAGAAAAGTTAACCCATCATCTCTGTGTCTTGTGCTGCTGGTGGCTGAGGGCAGCTGGGGTCCTGGCCATAGACATCCCCCAGGTCCTGGCCAGGTGTAATTGGTGTATTCAACTGCAAATTGGGCTAATGGTGTGTGGAAGCAGGAGGAGAGCCTGGAAAGTGGGTCTGAGGGGCAACCCTGGTGCAAGGACTACCCTGTGGGTGCAGCAGTGTGGTTGGGGACAGCAGAGCAAGAGGTGGCAAGGTTAGAGCTGCATGTTGGGGACACATAACCCAACACTCCCTTCCTCCTCCAGGCCCAAGGGGACCATGGTCACCTATGGGGGGATGGCAAAGCAGCCTGTGATGGTGCCTGTGGTGAGTACTGGAGATGCTCTTCATTTCCCTCAGGTCATGTCCCACTGATGTCCCTGGACCCTCAGCTCCTGCTCAGCACTGTGGGAGCTTGGCAGCAGATTGAGACCCTCCAGCCTTCTTTTCCCTTAGCTGATGGGGTCTGTTATGGGACAAGCTGCATCCCAGTGCTGATCCCTTGGCTTTATTTATGGAGGATTGGGAGGGAAATGGCCCTGCAGATACCAAATATCAAACCTGCCATGACTCCACACCTCGGAGTCACATCTCTGCACCCCAGTGTGGCTGGACACACCAATGGGAGCACTAACGAGGGAGTGAGGGGCCTCACTGCCACCTTCCACTGCTGTCACGCTGGGAGGGGACACACAGGTCTCAGTGGTGTCACTGGGTGTGCATTCCCTCTCTCCACAGAGTGCCTTCATCTTCCGGGACGTGCGGCTCCGCGGCTTCTGGATGACCCAGTGGAGGAAGGACCACGCACAGGGTGAGCTGGATGGGTGCTGAGGGACCAACTGGTGTGTTGGGTGGGTGTGGGAGTGGGTGCCAAACCACCACGCTGGCACCATCCTCTTTGTTCTCGCTCATGTCATGAGTGCTGGGTGTCCTCAGGGAGCTGAATCACTGGTGCTGAGGGATGTGGCTCAGGCAGGGACCGTGTCCTGTCACCATGCTGGGGCCTCTTCTCCCATCCCACGTGCCTCAGCTGGGGGCACAGCACACCCTGGGATCCCGTGTGGCTTCGGGCAGGTGTTTCCCAAGGATGGTTGATGGCATTGGCATGGCATGGTGAGAGCTCTCTCTTCCCTTGCAGACCAGGAGAGCCTGGCCAGCATGATGGACTCCCTGTGCCAGCTCATCCGCAGAGGGCAGCTCACTGCACCAGCCTGCACCGAGGTCCCACTCCAGGACTACAAGGCAGCCCTGGAAGCTACCATGAAGCCCTTTGTGTCCTCCAAGCAGATCCTCCTCCTCTGACCCACAGCTCCTGGGCAGGAATGGCTGAGCCCTGTCCTGCTCCACCACAGCCCACACCTTCCTGTGCACAGACTTAGGGGGGAAAAACCCTCCAGATCCATTGATTTGCTTTTCTTTCTTTGTTTTTTTTAATTCTTGGGTGCCCACTGGAAGCTTTAAAAGCCTCCACAGCTTGGTGTAGAGCTGCTGCTGGAGGGAGGCTGCATCTCACCTTAGCTGAGTGTTGGGTGCCCAGGGACTGCAGCTCCTTCAGCTCAGGGTGTCAAAAGAGCAGCAGTTCCCCCTCACACATGTTTTTGGGGATGCACCACTGCCTTCTGCCTGCTGCACTGCTGTAATTATCCCAGGTGGGATGTGGGATGGGCAGGAGAAGCCCAAGTTGGCTGCCCCCGGCCCCTGTTCTGAGCTGGGGGAGGATGGGGCACAGACCCCCCCCAGAGCAACAAGGGGTGGTTGGAGTGGCCTTGAATGCTGCTGCAGCTCCTGGAGGAGCCCTAGATCAGCCTTTTGCTGGGTTTTGCCAAGGGTGCTGTGGGTGCCAGGGCCTTTGGCTGTCCTGGACTGGAGCCAGACCCTTGGTGTCCCTGCAGGTCCCCCCAGCCTGGGTGACTGTGGATAAGGCAACATGAAAAGATTTATTGTTGAGAACAACCAACAGTGTGTTCTTGCTTCCTCCTGTCCTACTGCTTTTCTACCTCTGTGACCCCACAGCTCCCTAAGGTCTTGGCAGTCCCTGCCAAGGTCCAGCCCTGCTGCAGCAGCCACAGTGTTCACAGGTGCCTGTGGAGCAGTGACCATGGGCTGCACCTTGGCCATGTGCTGGCCCTGGCCCCAGCATGGCCATCCCAACCCACAGAGCACAGAGCTGGGGCAGGACAGCCCCAGGGACCTGTGCTGCACCTGAATTTGGCTTGCCAGACAGGAGTGTGGGCAATCCCACAGGTGTGAAGGGCCTGTTTGGGCCAGGAGAGGTGATGCAGGGTGGTGAAGCCATGGATGGAGCAGGATCTGACTCCAGGATGCCAGTGAGGCTGTGTCTGCAGGGCAGTTTTGGTGGGGAGGGTCCTGCACTGCCCATCCAAGGGATTGTGTCTGCCCATGGCTCAGTCTGTGTGGAGGTCATAGATGTCTGTGTGTCATCCTCCTCCTCCTCCTCCTCCTCCACTCCTGCTGATGTCTGAGCATTCCACCACCTTTGCCTTCCCTCCAGGCCCTTGTGGGGACAGAGCTGGGAGACTCACTCCTTCCCCAGCACTCTGCACACTTCCATGGAGGAGAACAGCAAGCAAAGTGCTTTGACATCATTAGGAACACTATTAAGCATGACATAAACCAGAAAAATTAATGTAAAGCTTTTATTCCCCTTGTTTATTGGCCTTGAAACCCAACAAGCTTTAGAGGACTCCCTCACAAGATGTTCCAAGTGCTCCCTCCTACACCAGGGCACGAAGGAATTGATAATTCCAGTGAATTCTCCTTGTTAAAAGAGTGGGATCATGGTTGGAAATCCAGCTGATGGTGTTGCACTTACACAGTATTAGTTTTTGGGGGTGATGATGGGCTTATTTTAGGGGGGTGGTGCCTGCTCCTGCTGGAATGTTCCCAGAGCCTCTGCTGGGATTTTGGTGTGATTTAGGCATCTGGTGTGGCAACTGAAACGATAAAAGTAAGTCCCCAAAAATGGCATTTTGGGATCTGCAAGAGGAAAGTGTTGTTGCTCATCAGAGGGAATGAGGAACAGCCAAGTCCAGCCATGGATGGGGACAACAGAGGGGGACCTCTGAGCACCCCAGGAGGTGGGAATGGGGAACCTCATCCCTCCTGCCTTTGGGGAAGGAGGAACCCATCTGTATCCAGCATATAGGGGAGGAGGCACCCCACAAGATCCTGCTATATAGGGTACCCATAAGCATCTTGGCACACGAGGGACTCTCAGCAGTGCCTGGCACGTGGGGAAGGGGCACACCCCAACAAGTCCCCAGGCTCATGGGAAGGGAAACCCCCATCCTCACCAGTACATGGGGAAGGGGGAGTTCCCACAACCCTCAACCCGTGAATGACCCCCATTAGTGCCCTGCATACAAGGAAAGGGGGATCAATACCTCCCATCCCTGGGAAGGGAACCCCCCCATGCCCTGCACACCAGGCTCGTGGGGACACTGTGAGCCCCTGACACGAGTGAGTTCTGTTAGTGCCCTGCACATGGGGAAAGGGTGCACCGAGACATCCCCTCCATGCTGAATGGAACCCCCATCCCATCCTGTCCCATCTCATCCCGTTCCATCTTGTCCCATCCATTTCACCCCATCCCATCCCATCTCATCCTGACCTATCCATTCCTGTCCTATCCCATCCTGTCCAATCTTGTCCCATCCATTCCACCCCATCCCATCCCTTCCCATCCCATCCCATCCCTTTCCATCCCATCCTGTCCCATCTCGCCCCATCCATTCCACCCCATCCCATCCTATCCCATCCCACCTCATCCCACCCCATCCTGTCCCATCCCTTCCCATCCCGTCCTGTCCCATCTCGTCTCATTCATTCCACCCCATCCCATCCCATCCTGTCCCACTTCATCCCATCCATTCCACCCCATCCCATCTCATCCCATTCATTCCACCCCACCCCATCCCACCTCACCCCATCCTATTCCACCCCATCCCATCCCATCTCATCCCATTCATTCCCATCCCACCCCATCCCATCCCATCTTGTCCCATCCGTTCCACCCCATCCCATCTCATCCAGGTCCCGTCTATTCCCATCCCTTCTCATACATTCTGCCCCATCCCATCCCATCCCATCCCA